GGGGGGGGGGGAGGAAGTAGCAGGGGAGGAAGAGAATTGGGGGGAAGAAGGAAAAATAAAAAAATAAAAATTGCATGTACCTGGTCGTGACGTCGGCAAGGTTCAGGCAATGCGGATACGCTGCCGCAGATGCTAGCGCTACGAGGAGTGCCGCGCTGGGGTCGATGATCACGACGGATGTAGCACGGCAACAGTCGACGAAGTGGATGCTCCTCGTTGATGAGTGCGGCAATGTATGGAACTGGTCTTGATGTCGGGCGGGGGGGAGGGTCGCAAGACTGCTCCAATACCAGTGTAACGAGCGAGAGGCAGAGGAGAGAGAGAGGGAGAGAGAGTGAGAGTACACACACACACCCACGCACTCACTCGACAAGACTGACGGACTCGACAGATGCAGACAAAGTAGCGGAGTCTCAAAGTCGAAGTCTTCAAATATCGATGCCGGAGAGGCAAGTCACACAAAGCAAGCACAGTCGCTGAAAACTGGTTGCCCGTACTGGGCTTGAGTCCAGTCTTAAGTACCGGACTCAAGTTCAATCCCGAGGGCAGAAGTGCGCCTCAGGGCTGAACTGAGAATCGAAGGTCTGAGTCTAGGCGCCAGAATGCCAGATGGCGCCAAGTATCAAAATCTGAAAGTGCCAAAGGAGGAGTTTGAGAACGGGCGCCAACTGCAAAGGGCGCCGCTCCAACAGTCACGAACCGGAGAACGGAAACCCAAAAATAAAATGGCAGCCTGGTGGGTGGTAACCCGTGGACCAGGGGTTGAGCCCTGGCTGAGTCCGTAACGCTCCTCCCCTCTTATTCAAACAATAAATAATAATAATAATGTTGAATGGCTGAACCAGAATCCATGTCCGAAGCCCTCTTCTACTGCACGCATCATATGAGGTCCACCATAGCCATGGCCACCCTTCTTCTTCCTCCTTCCACGGCCAAGGCTACGGTGGACTACCAGGGCACCGCCCTGCTGTGCAAAGGACAATACAGAACAGCTATGGCTGCTCTAGCTCAGGCCGCCATGCCTGAGTCTGCCTCAAAGCTTCTTGGTGTAGCTCTACCCAAACGGGGGCCTTGCAAATGCACGCCCACCAAGGTGATGAATGGCATCCACCATAGCCAGGTAAGTACCTCTGGAACTCCTCCCTCCTAGTCCTGGTCTTCTTCCTCGTCCTGTCCTTGCTCCTCCCCAGCAGCGCTGCTCTTGATGCTTAGCACTGCTCCAGCCAGCGCTCCAACCAGTGTGTCGCCAAACTTGCACACAGATGATGAGGAGAAATATAACGGCCTGCTTGCCTCTTGGCGAGTGACTCTCTACACTGTGCGGCCTCCAAGCAACCGGTACCTCCTCCCTTTCGGAGGGAAACACCATTTCAGACTCTGATATTGCCCGTACAGGCGCTAGACTCAGACTGGTTGGACTTGTACCTGCCTAGACCTAGCCTACAGCTACTGGGCCTCTAAAAATGCCAACTTTGTCTTCTTCTGCTCGGCCTCGAGTACCGACACATCTACCTCTACCTGGTATGGTACCGGCCTACCTGTCACTTGAGTGTTTTTCCGCTGCTTCAAGTGTCGTGGGCCTCCTTCCCCGCCACTTGAGTGTTTTCCCCGCTGCAACCCTCAATGCCACGGCCACAGGTAAGTACTGAGCCTTCGGGCCTTCCACACGGACAAGTACCCCACGAGTCACACACACACTCAAACCGACAAACACTCAGACAGGCATGCAGACCAGCAAGCACGCACACACTCAGACTTAGAAAACTCAGCAACAAGCGGGAACCTCAGCAAGGCATGCATTCCATTGGCAAAACTCAGAAATCAGCTGTGTGTCTCAGTCCGTGTTTGGCAGGTCCTAACAAATTAAGGAAAGAAAAGAAAGAAAGAACACAGCAAAGGCAAAAGAACAGTTTCAGTGTCTTGTCTGCTATTTTCTTCATTTGTTTCACAAAGCGCACTCTTTAGTTGATATGTACGTGACAATACATATTTAGGGGGAGGGGAAGAGAGAGAGAGAGAGAGAGAGAGAGAGAGAGAGAGAGAGAGAGAGAGAGAGAGAGAGAGAGAGAGAGAATCCCTTCCACTTAAGGAGCATTGGCAGTGGGAGAAGGGCCTGCTGTGCGCCAATACGGGATTTGAATTTTGTTGCAGTCGGTCCATCAGCGCGGATAGTTTGGGTGTGTTTCTAACCAGATGTGGTAGACGAGTGTAGCATTTTTTGCACATCAGGTTCATGACCAGATTCTGGCGTGAGGATGGCCTTTATTGACCGGCAATGCCCATCGTGCAATTGGGGAAAGTCACATAAGGACGAAATGTTTCTGGAAAGGAGGAAAAAGGAGACAACAAAGAAGAAAAAAGTTAAAAAAACATGCATGCATGAAAGGGGGGGCGGGAAGCAGAATAAATAAGAAAAATGGACGAAAGAGAGAGTGCTGATAGACAAATGAGCAAGTCTGATTGTTCCTTTGTTTTCTCTTTTTCTGTCGAGAGAGCGCTGGTAGACGAATGAGCAAGTCTGATTGTTCCTGTTTTTTCTTTTTCTGTGGGGATTGAGTGCACCGCCCCCACTGCAGGCGGCAAGGTAATAATCATTTTAATCATTAGATATGATGATAGTGTGAAAAGTATTATTAAAAAAAAAAAGATATTAGAACGCTTTGTGTGGCGGAAAAAGCATGGCAGTCATGCCTGATGATAACAGATGAGTTTGAACTTTGAAGGAAACAAATTCTCTGTGATGCCAGGTGATTGTGATTATCAATTGTTTGCATATGATGGCACGCCTGATGATGACGGTGTTTCCTCATTGACAGATTGCATGTTGGACTGAAGACTGCTACAGCCCACCATGCTGCTAGCTGTGCTGTTTGATACCCAATCAGCTTAAAATCATGTTCAATGCAATTGTAATGCCCATGAGTTTATTCAGGGGAACACATTTTATTCAGGACCTTATACCCATGCCGACTAGCGTAATCAGGCAGTCTCCATGATCAGCTGATGGACTGTGTTGGATTTCGTCTCTCTGCAAAAGCAACAACTGCAGAGGACAAAACCACAAGAGGGTGTATAATAGCATAGAAATCTATGGACAGCATGAATGACATCATTCTCAAGGGAAGGTACTGGTAGACCGTTCTTCTCCGTGTGCAGTATCACTCGGTGCTCCAGAAGTGCATGCCCTGCTTAGTTTCTAACCATTCAAGTATGAAACCTGAACACTTGTCGTGATGCAGGTTGGACGGCAGCCGTTCTGCAATGCAGCAGGTAATAACAATTGTTTCTCAGTCTCTTCGGATTCCTCTTCTGGTGCTTCTCTTCTGTCGATCGCCGCAAACGTTGTGTCAACACCATGGGAAGATAGCAGACCCGAGGTCAAGAAGGGTGTACTTTCAACGTCCAGCACACTCCCAGATTCGCCTCGGTACAGAGCTTCAGCGATGGACTGGGTGGCAGACTCTGAGCTGTCCTATGAGTTTGGTTATTTGCTTGATGCGGGTGGGAAATTCACAGCTGTTCGAGACTCGAGGCAGTCTTTCATTGTGTTTAACTATGTTCCGAGTGGCAAGCGCACGTTCTATGTCTGTGCCTCTGATATTGACAGGCTGACTGGATGCTCAACAACGGAACTGGACGTGCAGGCTTCACAGAGCTTTTTTTGGGTGTCGGACCCTCCCGTATCCAGTAACGACTCGTTGACAGCAGAGGATGCTGCAGCATCACAGAAGCTGGCGGCTCTGAACCTGATGACAGAGCAGATGCGCTTCATCAGCACAACCGACCCTTCACTCCTTGCTTCATATGTGCTCAGCACCGCCGCTGAGTTGAATGCTAATGCAAGAGCAGTGCGATCTTCGCCCGCTGGGGACGAAACGGGACCACCAGCCTCTTCACCATCCCCTTCTCCTCAGTCATGGCAGTTCATGGAAACAACTGAAGGTGCCACAATTCGTTTACAGGCGCGCAAGATGATGTTGGACGCACTGGCTGCTATGGTTTCTGATCCGACAGCTGACCTTGTGAACGTCATCCAAGTCATTCATGTCGTCGTCAACAATGCCGAGGAAGTGGATACATCAAGCACCCAAAAGACATTTGAAACGATTGCACAGGCTCTGGAAGGTATGGCCTCTCAAGCAAAATCCAGCGATTCACTTCTTTTTGAACAAGGGGTTCTGGAGGATGAGAATAACGTCCGTGCTGTGCTCAATGCCATGTCTAAAGGAATCCAGTCATATGGTCCAAAGGAGTATAGCTTGAAGAGATTTTACTGGGAAGTCGCTAACCTTTTGGCAAAGGATGGGGGAGCCTCGATCGCTTCTTTTAGTGCAATCTCAGACCAGCCTTGGAGTGCAACTGGGGGAAGTTTTATGGTTAGCAGCGCCGACATGGATCCGCAGATAGTGGAGACTGCCAAATTGCAGGTTGTGGCTGCGTTCACAAACCTAAAGTCCTGTCATAAGACAATGTCAGAAATGATGTCAAGCTCACTTGTTCCTAGGGAGAACAAGACTAAGTGGTCGACCGATGGTCTTACAGGAGTGGCCATGGCATCGATAAAGTTGTCAGATAGAGGGCCCTTCAACATCACTGCAAAGCGGCAGAAACTGGCACCTACTGTCGAGGAAGGCCGAAAGAAGTTTCCCAAACAGTTGGAAGTGGTGATCAGACAATGGAATAACCGATTTGCAAAGAACCATACAAATGGCACAGGTACTGTCTCTCCGCAATCACCATCATCCTCACCAAGCCCCGCATCTACAGGTGAGTCACAACCACAGTTGCCTCTACAATCCCAGCAAGAGATCCGTGTGGTCGATTCCTGGAAAAACACGACATCGATCCCTGATCCCAGTGGAGCAGGGGGCAGCAGGATGCTCATGGCACACAGGGGAAACCGCATAGCTGTCAGGCGCCTCCTGCAGACGCCAGACGGCATATCTGGCAGTGATGGTAGTACATCACAGGGCAGCACATCAAATGATGACAATGTTACAGCATGCCTGCTCCAGCTTCCAGAGGACGTGAAGGCCTTGTGTGACTTGGATCCCCTGTGTAGGGGAGCTGACACACTTGTTGTATCCATGTCTTGCACCCTGGACCCCTCTTTAGCAAATGGACTTATTGAGGACAGGTCAATAATCGTCAGCCATGTAGCCATGATTGCTATTACAGCCCAGAACTCGTCTGCTGGCTCAACAGTCTCCTCCTCAACACCAGTTAGTTTGAAGGAGACGGAAGAAGCTGTCAGGATTACTTTGGAGGTTACCCCAGTTGATACATCTACAAGCTCAGGAAACGACGGGACACCTCCAGTATTCCAGTGCCGATATCTGACCTTGACTGGTGGAGCTGCAGTCACTGAAATTATCAAAACAGATTCTTCAATTGAGGGGCATGTAACATGCAAACCTACGAAACTGGAAGATGAAAGCATAATAGCTGTCGTCCAGACCAATTTGCTGGTGAACACAGCTGGCGGACTTCTTGGAGTTGGGGATGGGGAAAAGAAGAAAAACTCTTCCAAGAAAACGGGAGCAATAGTGGGTGGGGTTGTTGGTGGACTTGCAGGTGTTGTGCTCCTATCTGTTGTTGCTCTGGTACTTCATCGCAAAGGCATGCTACCCTGGCAACGTCAAGCACAAGGAACAGCGGCGGCTCCTGGAACCAACCTTTAGGGGAAAAAAGGAGGGGTCAGCAAATTCTTAGGGAGCAATTAGCAGAACGTGTCTGTGCTACCTGGCGGCACACACTTTTTGCATGGGTGAAAATCATTCTTTACGGTCAGATTTTTTGCGCATATTGCACTACCCTGCCTTACTGTTAAGGGTAGAAACCATTTTCCTCTTCCATGAATCCCATGGCTCCCATCTGAATGTCGGCCATCTTATGCAATTCACATGTCCATTTCACCTGGTGAAACACTGTATGCAATGGGTTTCGGGTGGCTACCATTCTATCCAACACTGCATTATCTAGCTGTGTCCTTGCCACCAGTATTTTTGCACACCGCGCTGCTACGCATATGTGGGAATCTTTTTTAGTGTTGTCGAACTTGCCATTTGCAACGAGCCTGACAATCATGAGAAGATTCCGCAACTCGACCAAGCAAATAGTCAGAATGCTGTTATGAATCTTATGATCCTGGAAATCTCACAGTGCAAAACTCAAAAGGAGATAATGTCGTTCAATTGCAACTGAAATGAAAGAGTTTGGGAAGAGAAATAGATAAAGGAAGAAGTAGAATGGAAAATGGAAGAGGAAGAGATGAACACAAGCTGGAACCAATGTCACTTCTTCCTCATCTTGGCACCATCTCTCGCCGCCGTCGTATCTCCCAACACCTTATCAATAATAAGAATAATAAGAAAAATAAACAACTTAGTAATAATAACTTAATAACAATAACAATGAATTAATGAACCACAATCATGTCCTAATCTTCCCCTTACTGCCGCCATCACAAGAAGTCACCTTTGGCTACATTCACCTCCTAACACTACTTGGTTGAGCATCTGGCTATGGCGGCAGCATCCAGGCCTAGCCTGAATGTTCAAAGGAACACAAAGCTCTCTTGGCCCTCCCACTTCCACTGCCAAGCCTACTCTCTTGACTTTGTAAACTCATCCTGAGACCTTCCAAGTGCAGCGCCAACCACGGAGATGAAGATGCCGTCCGCCATAACCAAGGTTAGCTTTATCCTTCACTCTCCTCCTTCTTCTTCTACTTTCTCCTTTTCCTTCTTCCTCCTCACTGCTCCGCCATAGCCAAGTCTTCCTCCTCCTCCATCTTGGTTTCCTCCAGCATAGCCAAGGCGGGAGCCAGCTCCGCCCTCTTCCTCCACCCAGCGCCTCACGACGCTGGTGAGCGCCCAAGCAGCCTCACGGCTTGTCCATGGGAAGAAAGAACCAAAGAGACCTCTACTGCTCTTGGCACCAAATGATATACTCTTTTCTTACCCATGACTCTCGGCCGAATTGCACTCAAGCTCGCCCTCCCTTGGTGCCGTAGACCTAGTGGAAGTTCCTGCCTTTTTGGCGGGAACATTATTGCAGTCCGCAACTACCCCAAAAACCTGAATCTACCTTCAAACCTGTCTTTTTTTTTTCTTTTGTTTTGAGAAAATAGGTCCCATGGCGCCTAAAAATGACTACCTAGTCCGCAGAAACTGCCTAACCCTCCCACCCTCGCAGAATGCGATCCATCCCACTCTCACCAACACCTCGTTCCCCACCGCTGGCAAACCCATCCCTTGACTTGAACGCCCACACTGCGCATCACCCCAACTAACCAAGACACTCTCTTCCCAGACGTCAGTGTATGATCTAAGAACCTACATCATGAGAGGAAAGGAGACCCATGTACGCATTGACTCAGTGTTGACTACATCAGCAACTTATCTCGATGAACGAGCAGTCAACCTATTGTCAGAGAAGGAGAAGCTGATCTACAACTTTGATCCCAAGCAGTATGCAGATTATCCAAGGTTTCACTTTTCATTCAGCAGTCGTGGTGGTTCTTACTGGGAACACCTCGTGGACTTGGCAAAGAAGTACATCTCTCCAATGGAGATTGATAGTGAGGCATTGACTGAACCATTTGGGTTTGGTAGTCTGAGGAGAGGGATTTTCTCAAGGCCATATATTCCTTCAGCATGGGAGGCGTATTGTGCATGAACAGACATTAAGATCCTTGGTTTTGACTCGACGAGCCAGGCAACCCATCAAGCTACCTCAACAACGAAAGCAGAAGCGTCATTCATAATAAGCTCTCTGAGAAGAATAAGGGTCGTCGAAGGACTCAAATGCCTGCTTTTCAATCCCGAGTCCCCATGGAGCGGGCTGGCCCTAGAGCAAATATCCGGATTGGCCCCACAAACATCGGAAGGGAATGACCCGCCGATGTGGTTGGAAAACAGGGGATGGCCCACCTCTCGGCCCATCACGAGAGCAAAGGTACAGCCACAGGATCCCCACCCCGACTCTCCTAGGCATGCAGCAAGGTCTGATTTGTGAAAGAATCCCTTTTGGCCTAACCTCCTTAAAATGTGGAGAAGCTTCCCACTGCCAGACAAAACCTCACCGGAAAGATGGGAAGAAGTGGCACGACAACCCCTATTCGGTAATAAATGGGTGGTGGACGCAAAGGGTCAGACCCTTCACTGTATGGTCTCCCCCTGGCGGGGTCAGGTCAAAAGAGGGCTAACAAGGATAAAAGACATATGGGACATAGCCAAAAAAGATTGGATTGGCCGGGACCAACTAAGGGATAGATTATGGTACTGCCACCGGCCCCAAGAAGCCTTGGAAACGATTGTGGAAAAGATCCCTTTAGAATGGTGGAGGATCCTGCGCAAAGGCCCCACCCTGCAACAGTCGGATTGGGTTGCATTTCGGGAATGACACGGCGAAGTGGGCAATGTAGTTTGCAATTACCCGGAAGGAACAATGGCAGTGAGTCTCTTCCAAGTAGGGAGGGGTAATGTCGTCGAAAGGAGCATCCCAGAAGAAACGATAATATGTCAAAAGGAGGAAGTATTTAGAATCAGACTACTCCTAGAGGAAGGGCAATGAATAACTTACCTCCCTTCCACTCTGATCCATCACTTGGCCATGGACCCGTTGGAATGGATATGGACGACCCGAATGGGGAGGGGCAGGAGTCACACCGAATCGCTGTACAATCGAACAGTTAAATCCACCTACAGACTCCTAAGACCAAAGATAAACCTTCGGGACCATGTGGAGGAGCGTTGGATGAACCACCTGAATATCAGCAAGGAGGAATTAAAACCAATAAAATGGTTCAGGATGGCAAAGACGAAACCAGGTAAGTTCGCCTCACTTCAATGGCACCTTGAGCACCGCTGCCTACCAACCAACAACTGGTTGATAGACAGAACGTCCCAAGAACAAAAAGGGCGGGCTCTACGTTGGTGCAAGTTGTGCACAAACGCATTCTCATCCAGAAAACGATCTAAGACAAGTGAGCACATATTCCTACAGTGCCCACGGGCACTTTGGTTGTGGAGATGGTGGGATAGAATTTGGGACCAACTAGAGACAAAACCCCATGGCTTTGGGACTGGAAGGCCCTGCTGTGCGAAGCCTGGTTCAGGGGCCTGGTTGACCGCCTCGACGAATTTACCAACAACATGTTCAAACTGGGGCGAAGGGCGGTACTCTGGGCACTGGAGAAGACGCTGCACATACAAGATGGAAGGAGCGAGACTAGAAGGATCTGAATTTGCAGAAAATGTACAACAACAGATCCAAATGGAAATAACTGCAAAGTGGGAAGACGTCGGAACACAGATCCACTCCCTAAATACACAAAAAGACATCAAGCAAAGAATCCATGAATTTTCCTCAAGCTGGCTTGGGGGGACAAACGGAGGAAGGATAGGGAAGGTGGATTGGAAAGGGGAACAACAGGAATCCGGGGAGGGCCAAGGGAGAATGGAAATTATAAGGGACTACTGACTGATATTCCTTGAATGGACCAGAATTGATACGGCTATACCATTGAAGCCCCTTGAGGAATTTCCCGACTTCTTCCCCCCCCCACCGAATTGCCTACTAGGAATGCAGTGGTATGTGACGAACCAGCTCCCGGACCTGCGCCAACTTTCGGACCCCTTCTCTCCCCCGTCATTCTCTGCATCTAGGTGTGTCTCGTTTGACCCCCGAGAACCCCCCCCCTCCCCCCTCCTGTGTTTTTTGCTCGATTAAAGGTACCTCGTTGAAATCTGTCAATTCTTTTTTTGTTGAAAATCCATGGGAATTTTGCCCGCCTTCGCGAGCGCGCTCAAAATTTGGCTCGACAATTAGGAATTCCGGAATTAACGGAATACCGCGCGACCTTTCGCGCAGGAATGTTCTCGGCCTTGACCTGGAAAACTCTGGGAATTCTTGTAGGAATATGGGTGGACGGAGGACCTTCTTTTTTTCTCGCGCCTGCTTTGCACACGGATATGGCACTTTAAAGTTTTGAATTAGCATAGGATTGGGGAAAACTGCAACTGTTCCGGTGCCCATTCTCCTTTTCGCTGACCGGCGCCATGCAAGCAAGCTCCCTTCTCCTTCCTCCCTGCGCCCCTCTCAACGCCTCCCTTCGCGCGCACATGCTCTCTCACTCCCTCCCCGTGTAACTGCTTTTCCCTCTCCTTCCCCACGCGCGCCCTTTTTCTCTTTCTTGGTCATCTGAATCTTGGACCCGTTTCACGCTATCCTTCGCACTCCTCTTCTTCCCACTCTAAGATCCGCGCTTGAAAACCCAGTCGATCCTCTCTCCCCATCTAGCCAAGGAGAGGCGCCGTGTAAGTTCTTCATGCACGGCGATTCTGATTGGCTGAAATCGAGTTGAGGGGGATCAACATGGCTTTTGACGGGCGATTACTCTCAAGCCCTCCTTTACACTCCTCTACCTCACTCTTCGTCTTTCCCCGCGTCTCTCTCCCTTCTCGCAACTATGAATTCCGACAGCGCACCCGTAAATCTCTCTCTCAACTCGTCAGCCAGCTTCCGGGAAGCAGTGGCTAGATGATGTGTGTATAGGGCGAGTCGGACAGTCCTGACGAGCCGACTGTAGACTGGCTGGCTGTGCGCTAGATCGCCACGATGGACTGTGGGATCCGGGCAAGCCACGTCGAGGCTAGAGTGGCCGGGTGACGATCGCAGTATTGGGTGGTGACACACAACGGCCGGGATCGTCGGTGCACGAATGAAGACGAGTGATTTGAGTTGAGTGGATGATTGGCCCGGGGCCATGTTGGAATTTGACGGCGAGTACGCCCCCTTGTTGCGAATCCATTCTTTGGTGTGAGCTCACGGCGGTAAAGTCGGACCCTCTCTTGCATTCCCGGTGTCACCTCTCGGTCCTCTCCCTCCTGGCGTGATATTCTCGCATGTCTCTCTCTATCTTTCACTCTCTCTCTCTCTCTCTCTCTCTCTCTCTCTCTCTCTCTNTCTCTCTCTCTCTCTCTCTCTCTCTCTCTCTCTCTCTCTCTCTCTCTCTCTCTCTCTCTCTCTCTCTCTCGCTGATGTGAATAATCATGTATGAGAGTCGATCTTTCGGTTTGTGATGGAATAAGCACTTGTGAATGTATACTTAGAAGAACTTCTTCCGGAACTCTTGCATTAGTTTCCTAGGTAATCCCCGGACTTGCTGAGATTTGATCACCTTGTCTTGTAAACGATGGATGCGCGTGTAACAACCATCGAAAGGGATTGTGATTACTCGCTTTTGGCACAATAGGGCAGGAGCATTGCATGGCTGCCGCCTTTCGCACCTTCCTCAGTGAATGTATGCACAGGGGCACGAAACTCGTTTTGATTAGGACACTATCCGACGAATCGATGACAGAGGCAATGTTGTTGGGATTCTGTTCGAAGACGCAAGAGTGTTTGGATCCGTTGATGTTGTGATTCGGGACACACTGCAGATGCCATCTGCCTTATGCCGCGCAACATATGCAGCATACCCTCGTAAAATAATGAGGGACTTCACCACGTGCGACCGATACACGTAACAGTGGCCGCACCCCACCATACACGAGTCTTCGTCTCTCCCTCTCTTTGAAATTTCCTTTCCTTCTTCCTTTTCTTTTGGAATTTTGACGCTATCTCTTTCTGGTTGATCGATAAAGTTATGTATTTCTTGCTTTGGATTTACAATGAATGATTGAGGATATTTTTGGCGCCTGATTGATTGCCATGTGGACTGACGGGCTCAACCCGACTAGGCGTCGGCCTCCCGTATCCCCACCTCCCCCCTTCCCGTACAACGAGGAAAGGACGAGTGTGTGTGAGTGGGACGTACGAGAAGCCGTTGCAAAGATCGGTGGGCAATATTACTTCCCTCCTGAAAATCGGTTTTCTAGGTTTGTCGGCGCTGGGTTTGTCATTATCGATACGCATTTTCCGTCGTACTCGTTACTATTACCATTCAACGAGTTGATCGTCATCCCGTGGTCAGCAGTGGCGCCCCATTGGCCTAACACTCTGTGTAGTGATTGCCAACGCTTCGATCACTATCGATCAAAGGGATTCCATTACCGAGCACGGAATGAGGACGAGCACGAGGAAAGGGCCACACGATTAAGGCCGTCCACGTCAGATTGGGAATTGTGCAACGTGCGACGTCGGGAGCTAGTCCGAAAGCGGGATACCAAGCACGTGTCCGCTTCCTTTCACCCCAAACGAAGAGTCGTGGCTCGGTGGGAGGTTCGACAGTATTTTCTGGATTGAATTCAAATTTCCCCGCGTCACGAATCCCGCACGCGCGCGTCTTCGAAACCCGCATCGCAACCGACTAGTTCTCTCACTTCATCAGACCAACACGGGGGATTTCAGTTTTGTCTGTGTCCCCACACTCAATTTCCCAAAAATCCTTGGCACACCCCATCTTGCTGTTTTTCGGGGCCTTCTTTCCGCACCTTTAACACTCCGAACGGATGACATCGATCCCGACCACCGTAGCTTCGACGTAGCTTGCCCGGATCCCACAGTCCGTCGTGGCGATCTAGCGCACAACCAGCCAGTCTACAGTCGGCTCGTCAGGACTGTCCGACTCGCCCTATACACACATCATCTAGCCACTGCTTCCCGGAAGTTGGCTGACGAGTTGAGAGATAGACTTGCGGGTGCGCCGTCGGAATTTATAGTTGCGAGAAGAGAGAGAGAAGCGGGGAAAGACGAACAGTGAGGTGGAGGAGTGTAAAGGAGGGCTTGAGAGTAATAGCCCGTCGAAAGCCATGTTGATCCCCCTCAACTCGATTTCAGCCAATCAGAATCGTCGTGCAGTAAGAACTTACATGGCGCTTCTCCTTGGCTAGATGGGGAGAGAGGATCGACTGGGTTTTCAAGCGCGGATCTTAGAGCGGGAAGAAGAGGAGTGCGAAGGATAGCGCGAAACGAGTCAAAGATTCAAATGATCAAGAAAGAGAAAAAGGGCGCGCGCGGGGAAGGAGAGGGAAAAACAGTTACAGGGGGAGGGAGCGAGAGAGCATGTGCGCGCGAAGGGAGGCGTTGAGAGGGGCGCAGGGAGGAAGGAGAAGGGAGCTTGCTTGCATGGCGCCGGTCGGCGAAAAGGAGAATGGGCACCGGAATAGTTGCAGTTTTCCCCAATCCTATGCTAATTCAAAAATTTAAAGTGCCATATCCGCGTGCAAAGCAGGCGCGGGAAAAAAAGAAGGTCCTCCGTCCACCCATATTCCTACAAGAATTCCCAGAGTTTTCCAAGTCGAGGCCGAGAACATTCCCGCGCGAAAGGTCGCGCGGGATTTTGTTAATTCCAGAATTCCTAACTGTCGAGCCAAATTCCGAGCGCGCTCGCTAAGGCGCGCGAAATTCCCATGCATTTTCAACAGAAAAAAGAATTGAC